TAAGTTGCTGTTATCAGTGGTATTTCCAACCTTTCATTGAAATCGCCTAGGATGTTTAAGGGTTCTTTTTTTGGTGTGGCTGAAACTAATTGCTCTCTTTCCTTCATAGCTAATCATACGAAAATTCAGAATATTAAAATAAGTCCTTCTTGTTATACGTCTGTCCTCTATGTGAAATATTTTATTTAGACTAACGTGAACGTCCGAATTTTCTTATTGGGTGCAATAGGTATATTTATCGAAATTCTGACAGCATTTTGGCCTGATGCATATGTGTAGAAAATACAGGGTTTATTGTTAGTTTTAACCTATATATGCCTAATATTGTTTACTAATTCTTCTGTTTATTGAGAAACAATGAGTTTGACTTACTAAAGGTACTTATCATGAACAATGTCCAAAATAAAAATCTGATGCACTAATTATTTATATTATTAATAATGTTTATGAGCCAAAAATAAGTTTGTTTTTTCACATAAACCTAGGTCAAAGTTGTTTCGTTTTCAAGATACATTGTGTCAAAAATTATAGAAAAGAATCGGTTTTCTTCCACATACTTATCGATTAGTCTTATTTTAGTTAAACAAAATAAAGACCTTCATGGCGACAAATGAGTGTGTTTATTTAGATTTTGAAAAAATTACAGAGCTTATAAAAAATTTTTGGAATATCTACTAACAAAACTCTGGGAAACTTTACCATTTTTTCTGACATTCTGGCTTACCAGTCGAAACAATAATTATAAATTTCTTTGAAGCAAGAGCAAAATTATATTTCTCCTGTGTGTTGTATGAGATACTTGAAAAAAAATGACATTCTTGCTAATGGGAAACGCCGACTTTTTATCCCGCTGTCAAGTGTACGACATATGTTACAAGAGGTGATGAGAAAAAATTTTAGGAATAATTAGATGAAAAAATTGCACTCGCAGGACTTAAGCCGCTAGCCAGGACCCAAGGCATCGTTCATTTTAGACCACATGATAACTATTGAGCTTGACCGTCTCCTGCATCCGATAATCCAAGTTTGCGAAAACGATCATTAATAATAAAACGCAGGTGTATTTAAATTTGGATTATTATGTAATACGTATTTTTGGAACCAAATCAGCTGTTAATAATTTAGCAAACTGACATGGATTTTGGCGTAACCGAAAGCTTACTTTGTAAATTATTCAAGGTCTAGTTTGCTTGGGGGAAAAATAAAAACAAAAACAAAATGGCAGACCTTTATTTAGTTATATAGTTTTGCGTCATGGCGATAAGACAGGACATGTTTATCTCTCACCGATAAAACGCAAAGTAATATGACAATATGACTTACATTTAATATACACTTTTAAACCATCTTCAATTGACCATGGTCCATTTTCTTTCTTAATAAGAAAAAATCGACTCCGAATTTTTTTTTATGAAATTTATTTAACACTTTTTGATTACTCAGCAATTTTTTGATGAGCATATCACAATGCTGCTTCAAATTGTCCACTTGTCGGGAATATTTTAAATAAGATAAAAATTTGCAAGGAATTCCTAGGCGCGTAGTAAATTTGGGCCAGTCAATAATTTTTTTTATCTAAAATAAAACATAAATTTTTTCAACAATTTCTAGACCACCGTGAAGCATATCAAGTAATGATATACTTTTTCTTTTAAATTTTAACACCCACCAAACTATATGCGTTTATTTAAGCTTTTCTTTTTATAATGCCTAAATTATTCATGCACCTAAGCATCTTTTTCTGAAACACCCTGATCTACACCCTGGATCCAAAAAACATCAGAAGCATTTTGAAAATATACACTTTTGTATTCGTAATTATCATGAAGATGGTAATCTTTCGAACTAGTGAACCATGTCCGATGGTAGTCTATTTTTCTATTTTATCAAAGCCTGGATGGTGATATTTATCGAAATTCGCTGGATTAAACCAGCGCAGTGTCGTAATTTCCTGAAATTTTCCACAAACTATAATTAGTCACAGGCAGAAATTTTATTACCAATTTTGTTTGCTTTTGGAACTACTTTTCGTAGAATATTTTGTTGAATTCGAGATTGAAGGCAACATACAGAAAATTTTGAAATTTTTATGTAATTCTTGAATGGAGGCCGCTCGGCTATGGTCTGTAGTACTGTTGCAGACAATTTCGAATTATTCAAAAGAAATGTTTTGCAAACGAAGATGATCCAATTCAACATAATCAATCACAAAATTAACAAAAATATTTTTACTAAAATTCTATTCGAAGGCGGATTCATTGTAAACCGTTTACGTTATCAAAAATAAACTCCTTTCGATGTTTACACTTACACACACTGTAGGCACGAAAAATTGCATTTACGGATGATGTTCTTAATTTTATCCGCTTTATTTACATCTTGACGTGATTGCTAAAGATTGAATTATGGGAACCAAGAAAAAACAATTATCCAAAGTATAGTGTGGTATATGTGCGATAACTGATGTCGAGATTACCAAAGTCCTTATACGATGTATCTATGATAATTGTTCTAAAATAAGCGATCTGTAAAGTTCATTTAAAAAATGGAGTGGAACTAGCTTAAATTGTTATTCAAATCAAGTCATCCTTGTAACCATGTCAGTATAGTATCCAACACGTTCGGTAAACTTTGTGACTCAGTCGTTTATTAAAAACTCGTTCCGCTGCGTTCCGCTCGTGTCAAATAAACTCGTGAGTCAAATGATGTTTGCCGCACTTGTTGCATAATATACTATAAACAGATATTTTGGTCATGCCAGTTTTCCAGAGGAAACTTCAAACGACGATGAATTAAGCAGTACACCACCTAATTTGATACATAAGGCCAATTCAGTAATATCAAATCTCTTTACCGCGCAGTATGAAAATGCATAGATGTCAAACAATTAGAGTGGTGTGAAGCAAATAAAACAGCAAAAATGTGATATTGCCAAATCTTCCGCCGCTATGGGCAACACATTCTTTTTTGAAATTAAATTGAATATTGACATTAAAGGAAACGTGGATTTTAAATAAGTTATAAGTTGTTTCGACACTTGAAAAGATGACGAATCGAGAAACAGTTAATCAGTTCATACTAGAGACAGATGTTGAAACCTATTTGATGGTTAAGGTAAATTTTTTACGATTATTTTATGTGATTGCAAGTTGCAAAATTTTTCATTTCATTTTAATAATGGGTATTCCGAACGCTTGCCGCAGTGAAGAACCGACTAAAATGACAGTCGATGACATAGAAGATAAAGATTTCATTTTGATTGTTAAAGTACCTCGTTCAACAGGGAATATACAAATTGTATTATAAATGTACCTAGTTAGTTAGCTATTAGCTAAAGACCTAAAATTACCAAATTCTAACCCGTACACTGGTCATTGTTTCCGAAAATCTTCTGTTACGCATTTTGCTAATGCGAAGGGTGACATATATAGTTTGAAGCGACCTGGAGGATGGAGATCTTCGACAATGGCCGAAGATTACAAGGAAAATTCGATCAATAATAGAATTTAAACATCAAAAAACAATTTTGAATTGTGAAAAATTGTGAAAAATTATTGTTTAAAATTTAGAAATAAAGGATTTTATCAATTTTTGCACGATTGAGAGTCGCAAGGGTTAAAATTGAAAAATCTTAAATAGTGCAATGTAGGATAATGAGAAAAAAAAGGTTACTTCGCATGCCCTAACATTGCCAGTTTTTGACGTTTCTAGGGAAACAAATAAGGGTAGCTCAATAGTTTGAGGTTTAAAACGTTCGCTACTGCACTAGCGCCACCTTTACAAAGATATTGATACCAGACCCTAGCGAAAAACGATGTCTGCAGAGCTATAATATACCAAGTGAAAGTTAAAAGATTTCATGTTAATTTAGCCCTTGGTTGATAGATGGCAGAACTTTTCGTTTTCGTTTCGTTTTCCCATCTCAATATGCAGAAACATTACTTTCAGATTTTTTTTATTTCTAATATCTGCCGACAGGTGAAGCAATTCGTTGATCCCATATAAACATTATTATCAACCATGTTATTCGCGAATCGACAAACGACAAGCGTGACAAACATGCGTATACGGGTAGCATAAGCCGGTAGGAGCTAATTCCCTTATCCTTCGATGAAGTTATGACAAAATGGAAATAGTATTTCAAACGCTAATGATTATACAACTGTTATATTCTTGCTGTCCGGTTAATGTTCCTAAGTTTACAGCCTCAGCTTTTTTTTTGGTATGAGGAAATGAATACTTAATTCTAATCACAAACCTTTGAGTTAGCAGGTTCCAACTTCGATTGATCTTCTTTTATCTTCCATCACGGTCGATGCAGTATTCATTCAATCGACAACACATGCATTTGTTTAACATTTTTAAAGGTTGTTTATGATCTAGCACATCCGCTAAATCCATTTTTTGTTTAGGTGGAAATATGAATTATCAAGAAAATTTTAGTCTGATCGAAAACAACGTAATATAACTATTAAATTTAAATAATAAATATGTTCGATAATCTAGTGCGGCGATATCCTGGCTTTTCCCTTTTCCATTGTTCCCAAATTTTAATTTTGGTATAATGATATCTGGATTCATTTCTAACAGTTACTTGACGCTGTTTATTTATTCTATTCTCTTCGAGATGACGCGACAGGGCAATTAAAATTGGTCTTATTAGGTGCGGGCAAATACGGGGAATTATTTCAAAATATTATGATACTACAATGAAATGTAACGTTAATGTTAAATTTAATCGAAATGACTTTAACCGCAACAGTGTGTAAGTTTCTCAGTAACTATTACAATATTACTATAAAAATAATGTCTGAAATAATTTAATATTGATATTAATAATAATTAATAGTAACGTTCCATATTATTTCATATCAATATTATTATATTTTATTATATATTTTTTTTCATAACAGTTAAAGATATTTATTTTTTCGAAGTTGCCACGGTGACAAAATCCATTACTGAAAGTGTAATCTACCAGGTTGATATGTAGCTTTCACTTCATAATAAACTCATTTATTGATATAATATTTTTAAATAAATAAACTTCTATTTGTCTCTTGTTTTACATTGATATTACAGAAGCAACCGTAGTTAAAAAGGTACAAAACCACCTGATCTCCAAACTAAACTAAACTTAAAAAACTTAACTTAAACGAGAAGTTTATATAATCAAGCTGTCGTTTACTTTCCAATGATAATTTTGCGGCCGGCGCCGATATTTTGACCGGCTTGAGTGGCCCCTTTGTTTTGGCCCGCCTGAAGACCGATGATACTCTCGCCGGCTTTCAGTTGTTCCTCTGTAAAGTCACGTTTGTTTTCGTCGGCGGGTTTGGGTCCTAGATTCGGACCGGGCCATTCGGGGTGCTTGTAAGTAGCCCTACCGAGAGCGAACAGGGTATTGGTCACCTGTGCGATGTCTTTCTTTTCCCACAAGTCGACAGTTTGGAAAACATCTATGTCTGGTACACCGTATTTCTTGATGGCCGCTTGGAAACTGCAAAAGAAAACGAAATTTTAGGAGCACTACGGACAAGCAATCTAGCATCCGAACGTAGAATGGCATTGAGAAAATGATGTACAACTTACAAATTTGAAGATATTACAATGCAACTTGCTTCAACGGAGCTATGAAAATGCAAGATTAAATGATATTGTTACGTTTTTAAATCGACGTAAATCTTTCAGGTTGATCGAAAATTTATTTCGTCCAAAATAACAAAGCCGCTAACTTGTTTAGACGCTACTATTCGCTATACATACAACTAAATGAAATCTTTTCGGCTGACTGATCGGCGAGCATTAACAGAACTCAACGCCTTCTCACGAAGCTAAGGAATAAAGTAACATTTAACAAAATTTCATTCCATTGCTTACGGGGTGAATAAAAGAATGAATATAAATTGAAAACTTTTCACTAATTTATGAAAAAATAGGATGGCGATCACACAAAAGACATAACTTCAAAATGAAGAAAGTGATGGTGAAAGCTAATTTAAAGTACTTTTCTAATATTGTAAATAATTATAATAGACTATATTTTCAGGTTCTAAGTAAGTAAAAATATGTAAATTTTTCAAAAATCTGAAAAACATTAGTAACCTTTAAATTATCAACCAATTATCCTGTATTCCTCCGAATTGCTAGTTTAAAATGTTGAAATGTAGAATTGATATGTTATTGAATTTATTAAGATATATTATTAAATTCAAACGAACTGCTGTTTGGAACTGGAACTAATTTTGCAGCAAATTAATATATAAGTTTTTCATATTTGTTTTTTGTGGCAATATATATTAAGTACTTCAAAACTAAAGGTTAATTGCAGACTGTAACTCAACCTTCTTTTTTTTGTTGTTGTAAATTTGTATTCCTTTTTCTTCATGATTTATATGACAAATGGTCACGGTAATCCAATAAAAAATTTGGAATTATAACACTAAATTTTTTTATAAAAAAGAAATAAATGTTGCAAAATAATTTCGATTTTTTTAAATTTATTTTACGTTTATACCAAATAGGATTTAAAGTTAGTTGTAGAATATTTTTAACAAGTTTCCTTATTGTTGACCCAAAAACCACTAATGGTACCAAATGCTTTCTTTTCATTTTTAAGAAATTTGTTTTTAAGACAATAACAAAAATAACAATCTGTGACATGATTGATCGGTTCCCTCCAGCTTGTAGAATTATCAAATGGTATATCCCTAAGTTCACCTCTATAATATGCCTCCAGAGTTGGCCAATCGTTACCGCATATTACATTTAGTGTCCAATTTTGTCCAATATATTGTATTCTGAACTATTTCAGATTTCACTGCTCCTGATATTTAATGCCCGCAATCATAACTGTCTCGTGGATGCTTGCAAATTTTTCTACATCAAACAGTTAGATTTGACAAATTTGCAATAATTTGCAATAATAAAACTTAGATAAACAAATAAAAATTGCGTTTACGTTTACGCACATGATTCAGTTGTAAAACTACCGAAATCCATATTATACAATTTTGCTAGGAATTTTCTACTCGCCTGCGCGCGAAAGCTAATCGCATCAGATCTACGTTTCAAAATCAACTTACTCTAAATAAATCGTTCTATTTCTGTAACGTTGTTAAGTAAACGTAAATATTAAGTCGGTCCTCTAGAACACTCCTCCTATTAATACACTTCTAAGTTTTTTCCACATTTCAAAAATTATTTGAATAAACTTGGCTAACGCTTCTGATTTAATATATACTTCACCTGTCCTCCGAAAATATTATTGTTGTACACAATGACGCCTAAATTTTCAGGAACAATACATTGTTTTTTAGATCTATACGTCTTAAGAACACAATTTTGTTTAAATAAAAAATAAAATAAATGCAACTGATTTTATAATGGTCTTATAGGTACATTTATTGGCAACTATAATTTTCTCGAATCAAAGTGACCAAGAATTGTTTAACAGAACAAAACCTATTTCGGCTTATAAAAAGTTACATATCTTCATTACGGACCATCATAATAATAAAAATAATAAAGTCTTTATTTCTTCACACAGTAAGAAATCATAGTATATTTCCAGATGAAGAAATGAGTTACCCGATTAAATTGCTCTAAATAAGGAGAAGAAGAAGAAAGTAGAAAAGAACAAACACAGTGTATAAATTAAATGGCAAGCATATTATGATAGATCTCTGAGTTGTTTTATCCAAGGTAGCACACTAATTCTGGATTTTGTATTCTATATCGATTGGCAATGCCTTTCCCTATACCCATTTTCAACTTTTATTTTGTTATATTTCATTTTCAATTCGAGAGTCAATTTGGATATATTAAAAAAAAGGAAAAAAATTAATGCACAATTTAAAACCCTGTTATCTTGATAACTAAGCGTTTTACAACTCATGTTTATAAGAACATTTCGCATGCATTTTAAAAGTACCATCAATTGGAAAAAACTAAAATTCCCTGTACAATTAAATACATAATAAATATGTTACCGACAAAGTTTATAATGCGAAGTTGTATGGCATTACTATTATATTACATTGAAATATTAGTCATTATATGAAATGAATTATGTTATACACATCTTCAAGGCATTTCATGGAATACTAATTCGATATAACATATCTACCATCAAAGGCGAGAAAGTTTTAAGTTAGTTCTAGTTTTTTTTTTTCTTTTTTATCTCATTCTACACAGCCAGCGAATCAATTTTCATTGGCATTCCTCTGTAATTATTATTTCACAGGTTTCCTATTATCAGGAACGCATCTTCTAGAATTCCATTACATTAAATTAACGGACGCCGGTTTTGAAAGGGTCATTTCAATCTCAAGGGCTTTGTTAATAAGCAAAATTGCAGAATGTGGGAATCTGAGAGTAATTCAAAAACGAGAAATGCATCTTCAAAAAAAAGATGAAAGGAATGCAGTCTTTGTTAATGGAGTTCGTTGTTGAACTGATTTCTTATGGCCTGAATTGGACCAGCAGAAACAGTTGCACTGCTGCGTAAGAGCTTTCCGAACCGATTCATCTCGTTGCAAGGAGACTAACTCCATTTGACTTTTCTTATGGGGTTGTATTAAGTCGCAAGCGTGCGACAATAAACCCCGAAATTTGATGGAACTGAAGCATGAAATTCAATCGCCACATCGATATTGATGGTTTTCATTTTGTTATGGAAAATTTGATAAATTCTCGATATTGCGTTTCATGTGTAAAAGTTCAAGATCTTCTGAAGCGAAACGTGCAATTTTTTTGCTTTTTTAATGAAAATGAATTAATTTTACAGTACCTTCAAACCCCATTCACCCTGTATATAAACAAACTATATAAAAAGCATTTTAACAAAAACTTTTTATATTTTTTGCTTAGCAGTAACAGATATTTTTTTTATTTTTTCTAGCATCGGTGCTATCCATAGAATCACCAAACATATTTCACTATATCTGCGGACGCAGGACGGATGTCAATCAAACAAGCCAAGCGGACATATAGATTTTTCAAATAAAATAGGTATCGGAGGATATTTTCAATTCCTGACAAAACTAACGCGTTCGGACATTTCGCGGCGCTTTTTTACGTTTTTGTAATCAAATAAAGTACGGAACACGAACGTATCCGTTATATTTTTGTTGCAAAAAAGTCATTAATCTGATGTCAAGCAGACGGCACGGATTCCATTCGACTCGCGTAGGCGTCCGGATTGAAACGTGGCAAAAACAGCGCACTCTCTAATTATAGGATTGACTCCAATGTCGCGCCCCATTTTGCATACGAATTTCGAATTTTTGGAAATTCATCGGGCAATAAAAACCACCCCTCATAAGTAGCTATTCTTTTGCCCTTCTTTTTCTGATTTTTTTTTTGGTTAGTTCAATTTCTATTTAAATTTTCTGTTTCCCGTTTGAATGTGAACACTTCAACGCGGGACAGTATTTTATGGAAACCTCCACAAGTATTTTAAAGTGAAATAAACATTAATTACTGTTTATCGGACTCATTCATTTACAAAAAAAAGGTTGTAGACATTCGTTTCCCGTTTTTGTACCTCATAGTTTGTATCTCTTGTTTGGTAAAAATTACCTAAGTGGATCTGTACTAACGAGTTCAATTAAGCTGGTATATATTTTTGCTCTAATTTATTATTTATTATTATTTATTATATTATTATTTATAAGTGACCAGTGCCAGATATATGTGTATGAGAACATGCGGTCAGCAAACTCGGACACGTGTTGATGTTTAGAAAAATCACTATTTTTCTGGTGACTTCCATATAATAATAATTTTTAAACTTTTACAGACAGCCCTTGTTCAGCATAAATTAGTGCCAAACTGTAATTGTCATTATAGTGTTCTCTACTACAAATAGTTGAGAATACGTTTAATAATATCAATAATAAAAAGTCATTTTTAATCAGTAAAGTATTGTATAAAGCAAAGTTCAGCATAGCCATTCTAACACCTACAACCTGGGAACTAGCATTGTCCAATTTCAGGGAACGATATTAAAATGACTTCTTAAAAAAAACAGTATGATGTTTCATGTTTCCATCCATGTGCTGTGTACGAATTGTACGATCATGCTATTGATGCCTGTGAGCAAAATTATCCTTAAGATATGGATATGGATAAGACAGCAGAGCTCGATTTTATTTTAAAGCCAATTTAAGTCTAGAATCTTGTGCAATACCAGTCTACAGCAATTATTTTGGATTTTCTGTCAATGATATCTATCCACGGATGCCAATGCAAACCCATGGACAAAGCTACAGTAATGGTATCGATGGAGGAAACCAGTTTTAATATCCGAATTATGAAGTGATATAATTTTGTTGTAAGTCTACAAGCTTCACAAACTAACCAAATCTAACAATTTTAAGAAGCCTATGATCAAAATTTTAACCAATAAAGGATGAATATAAAACATATTATTGAAAAATAAGGATAACCCAATCCAAAACAATTTTCACAGTCAAAAGTGGGTGCGGGTCGCGTGGAATAGTACGAATACTCACTTGGTGATGTTTTCCATGAACTTAAACTGTCCACCGGAAGTGTTGATTTTGGGAATGGAGCCTGGGGCGAGTTTGTTGATGAGCTGACAGAGAATCGTGCCGTCTTTCAAGACGTCTTCGTACAGTTGACCGGGGGGGAATTTGGCACCCAAAATGGTTTCGACCCATTCCTGAGCTTCCTTGTCTTGTTGCGGGTTGCGTTTGGCGGCGATCTGTCAAAAAGAAAAATATTTTGAGTTAAAAAATGGTTGTGGTGCAAAGTCACACTGATTGTACTTACTTTAGCCTGAACTTGACGTTCAAGAGACATTTTCAATGAGTATTAGAGATTGGTGTACCCGGTAAGTTTGTCACACCCAACTAAACTGGACACCCGACGCGTGTCGACGCTTTTATACCACGACGAGGATTTCCAATTCGGCCCACAAGATTTTTCAGCGTCGTTTCGGAAACTCACAGTTTACTCGCCGGTTTATTGTAAAGCGGGCTATATTTAGACAGTTGGATTTATTTGTTTTAGTGCGATTTTCTCGATTAAATAGCGCCGGTTTGATATGCACGCCTTCCACTCGTGCGCCGAGTACGGATTATCTACCGGGCGTTTCAGGAGAGGAAACAAATCTATGCAATGCAACAAAACAATATCTAAGTTGGTTTTGGATTGTCATAAGGCATTAAACTAGATAGCAAGGCAGAATAAAGTGACACTGAAAATGCTGGATAAAAATGGCGGGACAAAAACAGGTCAAATCTGCAACAGACCGGCTAAGCTACAAAACACCGACCGTAAAAATAATAGTAGGCGTACTGGTTGGTACTGGTTAGTACTGGTAGCCGACAGTGGCTGGTTGGCCACTGCCTGCTAAAGAGAGTGGATGAAAATACTAAACAGAGATTCTGCCAAGAAGAGGTTCTATGCCAACCTAGATAAAGCTCGATGTAGTCGATACGATTTGCAATGGCATAGTCGGTCATAAAACGAAGAGAGAAGGCGCCCACTCGTATACTAAAAATGGCCAAACCCACTGATTTACCTACCAGTCTATTACGCCCCGGAGTCGTATACCCTCCAGAGATACCACCAATTACAACCACAAAACAGTCGCATTTTTGAAAAACTGCTGCCGAAACTCAATAATTATTATGGATATGCACGATATCAATTGACTTCAGACAGACAGAAAATGGTCTAAAATTTGAGTTGTTAAAATTTACCGTATGCTACAGACGAAATAATTGCTGGAATGGGCCACCAAGTTTTAAGATTGACTCCTTATCATTTTATACGGTATGAAATATATATCTTTTATTTCTGTTTTCTTTAGTATTGTTTTAATTTTTATTGCATTCACAGAGTTTTCAGACAACAGTTTTTTAAAAATTATTATAATTTTTTTCATGTGGATTCAGCTACTTAAGTATTCACATATCATTAAGGAACACTCTGATCCATTATTACATAGAAAAAACATGAATCCATCTCCGAGTATAGGCGTACTAGTTTCATTAATAAATGTCAGATACAACTGATTCTGATAGACGTTTCGGGCGGAACAACATCTGTTGAAGCATAAGTGGCCAAGATGAACAATTTGTTTTATTTCCCACTATGCCTTTACAAATCGCACCGACTTTAGCATCCTTTGGGTCACATTTTGAATTTTGAATGTTGAGTGCAACAAGTGTGATAAAATCCATTTGAGTCACGCGTTTGAATTGGTTAGTTTTGAAAAAATTGCCAAAAGTCAAAATATCATCCTTCGCTCAAATCACGTCAGTGATTGGCGAACATGACACCTTAAAGTGACACTCTACGTACTCCTCATCGGTGCCTACTTGTGCATTTTAGAGTAGGGAGTAGGAAAATGAAATGAAAGAGTTTTTTATTTAATATGGAGAACTTTATCGGATACATTGCATACATACATACATTTTTTAAAATTATTACTCAAAATAATGAAAAACCCTCACGTATTTAAAAAACGAGTTTACGGAGAATTTTATGATAAACGGTTTAAACTACGTCATATAAGTAATAATAGCGGTGATATTTTTTCTATTTTTAATTACACTCATAATCGTTGCATTCTTCCGACATCCACAAAAGTGCGTTAAAATTAGCGCACAAAATAAACAATGTCTGCAGGTTTTGTTGAACAAAAATATGGTCAGTTGTAGAAATATTTTCGAAGCAGATAATGTTTACCGGAGTATGAATATGTACCGAATGGAGTGATTGAAAATGGAATTAATAAGATGCTGCGAATAACACATCAGTATGTCTTATTTATAATAGTATCCTCAGGTCAACCTTAGAATACTCATCAACTGCATAAAATGCGATCTATATGCCGAAAATATTTTTAGAAACCTGAATTGAGGTTACTTAAAATGCGCAGAAATCGCTCGGGCGTAATTTTTCAATATAAAATTGTTAACAATTTTATCGAGTCAGCTTCACTTATCATTCAATGCAATGCAATTTCTGTATAAAGATTCAGAACAAATTTTTTCTGAACAGCGAAGATATTGATTTATCCTATTTAAGTCTGAATTTGTACCAAACAAAAGTATACAAAATTTTGCAGTTGTCTTCTGTTACCTTTCATTATCTTTAGAAATATCTTACTAAGATTTTTTGGTATTTTGTTATTGGAAAATCTTGTTGAATAGCTTTTATGTTTGTAAATGAAATAAAAAATGAACTTGGCTGGTTTTCTATCAATCACAGTTTTCTCTTGTGTCTGGATTATGTTTTAAGTATTTGCACAGCCAGTTGACAAAACACCACTTTCCTGAACTTGAGTTTACATGAAATTCAGTCCTTTTATTTGAAAAATGAGTCACGAAGTCACGAGCACCAACCTCACGCCGCGTGCTTTTTCTAGCCCCGTCAATTTCCTTATTTTGAATTTGCAATTATTTTGTGATTTGCGATAATAAAAGGCGTTTTATATACAATATCGTTTATTTCAATCTTTTTTACATAAATTTATTGGACTAGACACATTTTCTGATATTAGATCGTTTATTGTACACGCGATTGAAAACAAAAGGTTTTATTCGTAAAAAGAAGGAAAAACACAAAAAATAATAAATTTAATTTTCTGGTTTGAAACCATCAATTGTAATCTTCAAAACTAAAATGCAATCATTGCGCCCTGCAAAAATTTATAAACATTTATTTACAGAATGAAAATTTACAAGCACCCAAAAAGTGCAATGAGTCAATATTTTGCGTAGGAGGTCCAACCGTAATCAAGAATATGCAATAAGAGTACAAATGATTATAGTAGTGCTCGGGGTAAGAAGTGCCTCAATCGTTTCAGACGTTGAAGTGACTAAATATAAATTGTCATTTAAAAAACGCATAAATAAATAAACTTCCACAAAACGGTTTCTTTAATCAAGAGCTCTAAACACAAATTTTTAAAAGATTGTGGGTAAGAAGTTATGACATAATTTTTATCTAAGGGCTATTTTCTTCCAATTACAAAACTTATGCGGATTGTTGATTAGCCTCCCTCCTTCTCTAATAACAAAAACATATCAACGAATACTGGAATTTGTACTCACCAAAATCGGGAGAACAAAATGACGGATGGCTATTTTGTTAATGTTATCAATTAGACTAGAATTTATTAACAATACTTACAAAATCCTATCCGTATACAAATCGTATAATTAGATAAATTCATCACCGAAGACGGACATCTGTGTTTTTGCGGATTACTCATATATTTCAAAAAATTTAATGGTAATTCGATAATGCGACACTGAAAATTGTACCACGTTAGTACGCCATTGCTGATACTAAAACGATGCCTCCTGCAAAAATAAAACCGTTGATAATAAATTAGTTCTTTCTCTACAATTTCATCCCCAGCAAGTTTTATCCTATCTGATGATTTGGACTCAAGGACTTTAAAAAAAAATTCTCAATCCATAATTTTTTAAATGCTTTTCATTCGACATAGATTTTGATGACGGTAGCCACAATTCTACAGCCACAAGGCTTTTCGTATTTCACTGAAAGTATTAAAATTTGTAAAAGGTACAAAAAAGGTTTTTCAACTGTGTTTCATGTAGAAATAGTTGCTCTTTTAGATTTAGATACATATTTGACACTATGTGTTGAAAATTATGATAGAGTTTACAATTCTAAGTAATATAGTTTTTCTTATAACGTAACAGTCTTCAGTTCTTCAGAACAAAACATATTTATATCATTATTTTGGGAAAATACAAGTCTGTAATAGTTACAAAAAATGTTCTTTTTGTAACCTTTTAATATACTAATCTATTTTCAAAACTTAATCAAACGCTTTTAAAACAATATTTTCTGAGTCCAAAATTGTTTTGACAATGCTTTTGTATTTGGTTTTTACTGAGTCTTCAATGTTTTTTATGTAGGAAAAAATATTCTTTTAGAATTGGATATATATTTATGTATTGAAAATTATGAGTTTACCGTAATAAGTCATATCCTTTACATATTTTGGGATAAGGCGTATTAATAAAATTATTTTGATTTGAATAAATCAAAAAGTAGGTTTGCAATACGTACAAAAAGTGTGCTTTTCCGTAACTTTTTCACATTCTAAACTATTTTCAACTCTCATTCAAGCGCAAATTTTATCTAATTTAGCAAAAATTTATCAATATCGAAGAAAAACGAAACAAACTGTAAAAATGTTGCACCAGTATGATCAATTTTTGTGTCAACGAAATTTAACTCGCTATACCAGTGGTGGGGATAAATTGGTAGCGTGGTATTTGCACGTGACTTGGAGAACTTCGTCGCGTACGCTTTCACCGTGGTACAAGTTCCAATGTTCCGTTTAAATTGCTAACTTTAAAATAAATGATTTGCGGAATTGGGTTTCAGGTGGTCACCCAACAAGTAAGAGGCGGCTCCTCCAGAACCCAGTAACGATGTGAACGGCGAAGATAGAGCTGCTGCGGCCGCCGCATGGTGGCTTTGTAGGTGACTCGGTTGGGACGACAGCACCTTGTTGGCTTGATGGACCAAAAGGGCGGTATTACAAGTTTGGGGACTCATAGCCGACCATTTGTTGTTGTTCGATATTGTATCGTCTGACAGTTTGCCTGAAATAAGATACATTTTTCAGGTCTACGCACTTTTACAAATTATGTCACTTAGATATTAAGAGAGAAAATTAACACAATATTGCATCTAAACTAATTTTCATTTATTTGAAATAACTCACTCAACTAAGACAATTTTGAAATTTTGCTGCTGATCAACAATATCTGTTGCTTATTTCAATTACAATAAAGAAAATGTTAACTTCTTTATTCCATGACTTGGCGGCTTGAGCAGTATGACAATTGTTCCTGTGAAATTAATTTTGTATTTTGCAGAATTACTGGTGCCATCAACAAAAAGAGGAAGTCAAATCATTACAGGAAACTTAACTTTCTTTCTGAGTCAGTGTGTGTGAAACTGTTCTTTTGGAATTCAGTTAGTTAATTCTGCTTCATAAATCGTTTACACAAACTTCAAACTTAGATTCTTTACCCCATTAACGTGGTTCCAATTTTAATGCTTGGTTGACCATAAAAATCAATTTCGGTTTTGTTTAACAGGAAAAAGTGGAGTTTTCAATGAAACTTCCACAGGGTACTGCAATACCATTTACAAAACTTCTGGATTTCTCCATTGTCGGTTGATGATGAATCGAACTTGCTGACGTTTTGTCAATCATCCTGTTGGCTTCTTCAGAGCTCAACTGAAACTGGCTTGAAATTTATTTGGTACCTGTATTGTTTGAGGGGGTGGAACTAAAGGAGGAGCATGGAAATTGTTTCGGATGATGATGATTGATGAAGAGTTCCTTGATGAGGCTCTTTCATGTTCTTTGAGCCCAGTTGATATTTTTCGTCGCGTCTCTCCAATGCCGTATATACATGAAGCGCTATTAACGCTTGGTATCTCAAACAAAATTTTGGCTTATTCGCTATTTCGCTTATTTTCGCTCTTAAATATCAAGCGCAAGAACAGCAGTTTAAAAAGATATTCCAGTACTCAAAAAAGTGTAAAATCAAAGTGTAAAGATAAATATACGGGGATGGATTTCATTTCATCCAGAGAAATTTGAATGGTATGGTAGATTGAGGGGAGATTTATTGGTCAAACTTTTGTCGAAATTTTGCCGAACGTTATAGTGTCCGGTGTGGAACAGCTTAACCCGCAAAATAATTATATTTTCAAACAAGACAACTGTCTTGTCCATGCTGCAAATATCGTCACACAATGGCTACAAAATGCCAACATTGAAACCTTGCCTCGGCTAAGTAACAGTCCTGATATCAACCCAATCGAAGACATAAGGGAGATTATAGTTAAACTGCTGTGTAGAAGAAATTTTATGCCTCAAAACTGCGAGTGGCTATGGCAAGGTATTCAGGAAGTATGGGAAGAATTGTCGCTTGAAAAAAACTTCATAACTCCTTTTATGACCATAAGCTGTGATTGATGCGGATGGAGATTACACAAAATATTAAATACCTTCCAAGTGTTTCTTCTTCTGTTTATATTAAAATGTTGTGCCCCTGCTGATAAGGATCAACCATCTTCTAAATTTGTTACGATTCTTGCATTTGCCTAATTTTTAAAATAAATAAAAGTTGAGTCTCTGTAGTTTAGACGTTTTTTAATGATAAAACTTACGAGAAGAACCAATGATAAACAATAAAATTGAATACAATAGTCTATCTATATAATATAAGCATAATATACATTTTTCGCAAGATATCTTCACAAATTTACCAATTGTCTCGTATTGCTTCCAATAATTTTGTGTTCAATAATACATTTTATTGGAAGAGATGGATACACTTTGTAGTAAAGTCTTAAAAATATGTTTATTAATTTTTAGTAATCAAAATGTTTGCATAAAAAGTGATAAAAATAGATCCCATTTTGGACAACCTGATCAAAAATAAAGTGAAATTTTCAAGTAGTATCAGTCAGACATATTTAGAGTTTTAACAGCGAAAGAAAATATATAAGGGATTTGAACTTTGAGTGAAAATAAACACTTCATACCTTTATTGGTACTGTCCTTATTCTACTACTTTAAATAATAGGTATCACTATAGAGTGTGATAGCGCAGATACTTAATATGTTTATCCTTTTTACTTGAGATTGAAGACACCTGTTGTTGTTGCTAATAACAGATCTCAACGGTTCCGTACTTTTGCTTAATAAATCCCTAGTTTACAAGTTGTTGACCAACAATTACTTATTCCAATTTTGCATCAGATGATCCACACGGTGGTAGATATAAATTATAGATATAGATATCCATTTAAATGACAGAAAGAGGTAATGTCGTCAATGTTATCTGCTCGTACAAGAAATAAAAGTTAAACATTTTTGTTTTCTCTAAGTATCCATTTTATTTCGAGCCCAAAAATATTCGATTCAATTGCAATGGAGATAAAACGCAGGTGAAATATTTCCTCTCGTATCCTGGCGCGGTGTCATGCATCAAAATAAAAATTGACCCGAAATCGAAGGGGACAATATTATTTTTATATTCAGCCGATAAATCTAGACGCAACATCTGGCCAACTCCAAAATGCTTCATATTATGTGTTATTCATTTTCAGGACGGTAGACGCGAAGTCAAGCACTTAACAGAGATGTATTCCGAATTTTGTCCAAGTTTTCTGGAAAATGCCATTCAGATTTATCATTTCAAAAAAAAACATATATCACGATAGCTATTTTTGAAGTTACAATGTTTGTGGACGAAAAAAGGCGGCAATTAATCAATACGGTCATTCGAATCGGACGGCTTCGTGACGCTGGTTGTGACTAAGAATCTACGTACGAATTATTAAATATAAATCTGGATTCCCAAAAATATGCAGTTTTGATGTCACGTAAATGTGGAGGGAATAACTTAGGACACGTGAAATTTAAAGAATAAAAAACTATAAATTCATTAAGAAACAGAATGAAAATAGTCCACCAACACAAATAAAAATTAGGAATTTAACTTACTTTAAACTAGGCTTAGTGAACCTCTCTCTCTCTCTCTTTCGCATACTCAGACAATACAATACAAGAATTGCCCTAAATACAAAAAAAAAACTGTAGTCAGTCCCTTTTCTAATTTTAAAGATCCAATATCTCATGTAAAAAATGGGGGTTTTACGTACATAAAAACCATTGTACTATTACATACATAGATAAATTAGGAACAGCACATTGTCCATATAATTTTTCTACAGTCCAAAAGTTCAAATTCAGTTCTTCTAAAATCCTGATAGGAGAAACTAAGTGCCAGAAAATCCTTTATATAAATAAATATTAACACTAAATTGAATAATTTTAAATCATACAGTAACCATTTTAGGACGATATATTCTAACATGTATTCTAACTGTAACGATATCTTTTCGGTTTTTTGGTTATTTACATATTTAGTCTTTTAAGTGAGATCTTTTGAAACACTCAGTATGTTAGCTGTCATTTACTTCTAACGCATATTCCTTTGTTTTATGGACCCAACCTGAATGCAACAAAATTAGTATCTTTTCAAATTATTATTAGATTAGATAACTACCGGCATTTTTATCAGTTTTATACCCTTACTAATAATGTGGATTTTTTTACTTGTGCTGTTTCGGAAGAAACCACATTGATTCTATAGAGTTTACAAAACGTCCAGTATTTATGCATATCTTTCGCTCTGTGTTCTTTCGTTGTGGCTGGTTTTTATTTTTTTAACATTTTTATTTTCTGTTTTCAATCACATTATTTTATTTTATTTGTGTGTGGTTTAAAAGTATTAAACAAAACGTTGTCCTAAAGTCAGATGTTTAATTTAGTGAACTAGAACCTGTCACTACTATTCCAATTGCAACTGAGGGACACAATGGACATTATATCCACACAGCTATTCCGATAAATAGCGAGGTCCTTAAACGCGAATATTTGATAAAGAATCGTTCATGAAATTGGCGATAATGATTCAAAATTGCAATAGGAAATTTGGTTTTTCAGTATTGATATTCCTAGAGCTATTAAGCACTGAAGATGCAGATATATTTTTATAAGAAGTTCGATACATTGTGCAGAAGAATGACTCCTTTTAATGAAAGTTATAGTTGTCAAAATTGAAAATAAGTGTATATTTTTCTCAGGGTATCAAACAACAACATTTTCAGTAAACTAATATGACTGACACCTGTAAAAATTGATTTGATGCGACTTTCTGAAGGGAGGAATTGTAAAACCTTACCCTTATACAATTATATTAAAAATGCAATGTTCGATATTTAAAAGTATCAACAGTCCGTCCCTATGCTTTTCCTATCCCTTCCCATACCGTCATCCTACAGGACTCTCTCATTCATAGTGTTGGACCAACGAAGGCATCGGCGCTTCTGCCACCGTTCCCTGACGTTTAATCTAGAAAATTGCCCGACGCCTCTCGTTTATTTCCATTACTGTCAACTCTTTAGCTGCCTCCCGCCATTGTTGTGTTCTACAAGAGAACCCGCGACGGCAACAATCGACTGGTATGGTGTTGTTGCGTATTGTGTGACAAGTACTTTTCTAAAAGATGCCCTTGCTCAAACAGTACATTATTTTTACCTCAAAAGATCTAATCTCTACAATTACAATTAAATCTTTATTAGAGCCATACTTGAATTTGTATAGATCCCAGATTTTGATTTCAGTTTACAGGTTGCAGGGGTGTAGTGGCGTAACTGATTTTAATAAAATACACACTCTACAAAATAAATTCTTACAAATTTCATCTAATTATGATCGTCGCATGCATACAGAAAATTTGTATAAGGAATTGGACATTTATAAAATAGAAAAATTGCTTAAGCTAGAACAATGTAAATTTATGTATAAGGTGATAAATAAAATACAAAAGTCTAACATGAAGATTATATTTAATAAAGACGTTCACATGTCTCATAACGATATTTACAATTATAATATCAGAACTAATAAAGGACTTTCCAATAAAGTATTCCAAGCAGCATGTACTTATAATGAACTTTCAGAAAATTTAAGATATATAAATAAATATAATAACATTTGTAAAAATTCACTTGAATGTAAATTAAATGTACTCTATAATGTATAATAGTAATAAGATTAAGTAATGGTTTGTATACTTACCATTTTTTCTATTTCTTCTTTTTATAAATTTATTATTTGTATTCTTGGGATCAGAGCCATACGCACTGTTTAAAGAATTCACAATTAATTTTTTGTTACTTATTGTAATTCTCTTTTTATTTTAATTTTCAAAAAAAAACATATTCCTTTAGGTAAGTATGACTTTTTTTATTTAGTTATTAATGACAGAGCTATCAAAAGCAAAATTTATTTATTATTTATTTATTTTTATTTTTGTACAGACTAAAAAATTTGACGAAGAATGCTAATAACTGAAGATTTGAGGGAGGATGTAAAAAATGGAAGTTCGGATTGTGATTTAGTATCTAAATAGGTCAAATCCACTGTAACAGTATCAGTCTGGACTTGAATCATTGTGTTGGGTTTAGGCTATAAAAGAACTGAAACCGAAGATTTTTATTTGACACAGATAGTGAGTCGGCGTTCGATTTTGAAAGAAATATAGTGAAAATTACATATCACAATTTAGAAAAGTGGTATTTTTAGATGAAAGGAGGGTATTTTCCACTGCAAGAGGGCCAAGGTGAGTCTGTAAAAAGTGCAAAAAGGCATTTGATACGTTAAAACGGTTCACTATTTTGAAACGGTTTAACATTAAATTAATAATAAATTAGTGATCTTTGGACCCACATGAAGAGACTGAATTTAAGGACACTCTAAGTATAAACAGTGATCTATCAAGCATTTTCATGATTAATCGTTCAATTAAAAGTAAGTAACCTATATATACTTGTCAACAATAACAACATAAGACAAAAAATACTTACCATTACTAACAGGTTTGATGTCAATGCCATTCGAGGAATGGTGGCTGGATAGGCTACTCGTATTGGAGTTGGGGGTTGTCGAGATGCTCGAATGTGGTGATCCGGGCTTGACGTCCTTTTGAAGTCCTTGGGCGGATTTCGAACCACTACTGACTCCTTCCGCTTTGATCGATGGCGGATTCGGACTATCCGCACTGTTGTTTGCTTGACTTTGATTCGACGCTTTTTGTTGTGCTAAACGTTCCTGTTTACGAAATTTGGCCCTTCTGTTTTGGAACCATACCTGCAATGAACGAAAGAAGTTATAAGCGGATAACATTTTTCAGGCCAATTAACCAAATGGGCAAGTTATCTGATTTGGAAAACACTATAAATCTATTTATGTCGTTTGACTTACACGCACAATTTAAAAGGTTTTGGGTACGGCAAAGATAAGTAAGTAGATTGGAACACTGCCACGATTAAGGAAACAGCTTGCAATGTAATTGTTTTGGCATAAATACTTTAACACATGTTGATGCGGTACATCGATTACAAAGTATGTGATTTAATTCATTATTTGGAGATAGTTTTTTAAAGTTTAATCACCATAACGCATACTGAATTTGCAGATACAGATTGAAAAAATAGATTAATGCAATGTTCATTAAATCCGTTAAAATCTTGTTCAGTTCCAGTTTTTAAGGAAATAGATAATGAATTATTCACTATTTATATTTCTACATTTAATTGGCTGGATATGATTTGTTGGAAACAAACTAAAAATATAACATAATAAAACCTGAGTGCGAGGTCTCGTTTAATATATACTAATTTTTATTAAGATTATAGAATTGCACTTATTTAGGTTCAAGAAGATTAAAATCCTTATATCATAGATTTATGGACACTGGAAAATAAATGATGTCAGTTGTTTTAACTAAATTAGAATTTAATTGAATTAATTTAATTTAATGCCCATTAGACACATTGGGTTTAGTATCGTACATAAAATACAAAATATCGAGTCGTTTGTCTAATTTTCAAAATGCTATTTTGGTGACTAAAACATAGACCATATCATCATGGAATGGATTCCTCCTGCGCCGGTTGTTGATGAATCGAACTTGCTGACGTTTCGCCAATCATCCTGTTGGCTTCTTAACTGAACTTTAACTGAAACTGGCTCACATTCTACTCTATACCTTTATAAATATTTTTTTAAGATGGGCGACATCTTCTCTTGTATATTAAAGCCATTTACAGGGAAAACTGATAGTTTCGTAATTAATTCCTTTCATTTCAATTAACAATTAAAAACCATCACATTAGATCCACAAGATATTCTGGTTTGTTTCGATGTAGAATAATCGTTCTTTACTAAACTCTGTATTCCTGAAACCCTCAATATTATTTGAGATATGTTAAAATCCGAGAATCTGAAACCAAACCTTCTCATCTCAATTGAAAAATGCTTGTCTAGAATACATTTTTCTTATAACGATCAAATTTTGGAACAAACATCGATAACAGCTATGGGTTCTCCATTATCACCAGTCATCGCGAATATATTTATGGAAGCCTTTGAAAAGAAAACCATCTATACCTTCCATCTAAAACCAAAATTATGGAAACGCTACGTTGATGATATTTTTGTTAGTTGGCCTCATGGTCAACAATTCCTCGGAGATTTTCTTAGCCGTTTAAACTCGACACACTCTAACATACGTTTTATCATTGAAATGGACATTAACAATAATCTCACGTTCTTGGATATTCTTATCAATATAAAATCAGACCTTATATAGAGTCATTCGGTTTACAGAAAACCTACGCACACAGATCGATACCTCTTGTTTACAGAGCCGCAAAACTGTCCCAACCGGAGTCACTGAGCTCAGAATTAAAACATCTTGTAATCTCCGCATTGGAGATATCAAGTGTTCCATCACAAAATACACCTCACCACAACCTTTCAAGAACAATGAGTCCGAAAGGAACCTCATATTGGCCTTCCTTGCGTGCACATTACTGACCATATATCAAAAGTTCATACGAAATATAACGTCAAAACCAGATTTACCGATTGTACAAAAACCTGTCAACGTCTTCTATCAGTCAAAAACAAAATTCCGTTTGAGATACCAGTAGTTTAGAGTATTCTATGAATATGCGTCATTAGAGAGACCGGACGAAAAATATCAACTAGGTACAAAGAACATGACACAGCCTGAAGACTATGACAAATAAACTCATAGGCAGTTGTCGAATATACTCATGAAACCAGACATAAAAATAAGTTTCATCGTGCCCCCAAAACTGGAAAGTTTAAGTAAATGCGGATTTACGGGAAAAACAATTAACGATTCGCAAAAATGATCCGCTCGATTCTTTTGCGTTGCGGGGATGGCGTTGTTCGGCTTTTATTTATGTTAAACTGAACCCGCGAGGCAATCAGCCTAATCAATTCTGCTTTTATTTATTGGCTGCCAGCGGGGCACTGCAATTATTGTAAATTGTTCTGCAAATACGCAGCGGGACGACGAGATGGGGAATGCTCTTGTTTTTGGGGTTGGCAACAAAAATAAACGCGCGATATGTTAAGGGGGATTGATTTAAAGATATGCGGGTACGTATATCTAAAATCTAAAAAAACTTGGAACCTGAATTAAATACCACTATCGTTTGTTTTTTTAAGGCGTTTCGGTTGAGTTGAAACAAAAATTTTAGAACTAATTAATCAACTGATAATAATGGTTACATAATGATAATCTTCAAACAATTAGCGGGTACGTGAACATCAAGCGAGTGACGGATCACTTTTAAATTCGATGCCAATATCGAAGCAAACGTTTAAAAAAACTGCATGCGAAATGTTATGGTTGGCCAACTCATAATGGTGCACATTTACGCGACAAACCCTATTTCAGGCCAAGTCTACTCTAGTGGTTTATCTGTTAGAAAGCAAGAAGCAAAAATTAACCAAACCGGTCATCATATTTTATATTCTTGTTTGGCTCGTTAACACTTGCTGCTTTCCTAGTTTCTTATAAACTGATTTGGCCTAGAACAAACTAGTTTAACTTGAAATTGGGTTTGGCCAGTAACATATAATAATAATAATAATAATAATAATAATAATAATAGTAATTATAATAATAATAATAATAATAATAATAATATATTTACTTATATATTAAACAATGTACAGTTATTCCAATTTTTTATAATATGGCAAATATAATACTGTACAAACCCACTAAAGAAATCTCTTGAGCGTGGGCAGCAATAATTAATATATTCTTTATTTGTAACACAATGAATTGTCTATAGCACCACCAAAAATCAACGATGCAATTAAAATTATTACTTAACTAAAAAAGTTTATTTTATGTTCCAGTAGATAAAAACAATATAAAAACTGAGCCAACAAGATAAAATCATCAGTTAAATAATTTATTTAAAGAATAAATCAATTGCAGTTTTGGTTAGTTTTTTTATTCATTTTTTATATACTGACTAATAAATTTAAAGAATTTAATTTTTTAATATCTTCAGTTAGGCAGTTATACAATTTTGAAGCTGGGAATGTATGGCATCTCGACACTATAATCTTTTCAACAACTTGCAATTTATATTTGTTGAGTTTATTCCTTGTATTTTATATATTCATGGTCGATTTTTCCAAGAAGTGTTTATTTTTGTGTTGACATATTAACAGATCGTGGCAGAATATTTGAGGCAGATCGAGAACTTTTGCCAAATCATATAATTCTTATGTTGGGAAGAGCACTGTTTTTTTGTGAATTATTTTCAAGATCCATTTTTCATTTTTTTTAATTGATCCATTAGATAAAGAGATACACCTCCCCAGGCTGTTAGGCTACATATATCTAATATGGGTTTCAACAAGTGCATGATAGAGCGGTTTTAATTGTGCATCATTTAAGATCGAAGACAAAAACTTGAATCTGTCTAAAAGTGCCCTATTCTTTTTCACAACATATTCGATCTGAACATCCTACTTTAGGTGACTATCCAGATGCATACCTAGATACTTTATATGTTGTTTCGATTTTATTTGGATAATTTTGTAATTGACAGTAAATCTTAATGTATTATAAGTAGGGATGTTTCTGGCATATGATGTAAAGGCTTATTTTACTATAAGTAATTTGCACCCTGTTCCAAAATATGTATGTGCCTATATTCATTTTAACATTTCAGCGACTTGAATTACTTGGCGCAAAATCTCATCCGGACTGCCTACCGAATACTTTTACACTAAATAAGAAGAATTAAGCTAATAACTATCTGCTGTTCGTCAATAATACTTAATACATATTTGGTAAAATTGCCGCTATTATTGACAACCTTTACTTTGTCTTCTAAAGTAATTCAAAACTACTTAGCTACGGAGAATAGCCTAGGAATATCACTTCTTCAGTGCTGGGATATCCAAAACGGTAAAAGTCTCTGCTTTAAAAAGAATAAAAAAATTAATCCCAATCCAAAAAATTAAAATTTTCTCTGTTTATTACTCGTACACAAATTTATTTCGCAATATTACTGAAACTTGCCAGATTTACAGTTTCTACAGTTTCTAACCAGCAGTGCCTAACTAACCAAAACCTTTTTCAAGTTGAAAGGATCCGAGGGATTATATAACGTAAACTATATCAACTACAAATGAAATGAATAATTTTTTTAAGTACATAAGGTTGGTACAGGTAAATAAACATTGTGGTTTACTTTTCATAGAATCCATATGCAAAATTTAAAAAAAAGGACGTGGGTGTTTGAAGACCAAATCCACTACCTCAGCAATTTTCTAAATTATATATTTTACATTTTTATGAAAAAAAAAAGAAAATAAATTTCATTTAACCGCAAATAATATTATAACACAGAAAATTACAAAATTATCTGTCATTTGTAAAGACGGGGATCCGGTTTTGCTGATTGAAATGATAGCGGAAGATAAAATTAAGCATGAACCATAGATTTTCTGAACCGTATACAAAGAAAAAGACTTAGTTCCTGAAAATAAAGCACATTGGTTTTAATTTAATAATTTAATTCGCATCGAGGAAATAGATATCCAATTAGTGGAATAATATTTTTTAATTCAACTAAAATATATTTGTTGCAACAAAATTCTATTGGCCAGTCTTACACTATTACAAGAAATATGTATGTATTATTACAATTCTACTTTATTTTTTGCAAGAGAGGGGTATATTAGGTATACTTATATTTGCCAGAATTTTTCGTTGAAGTAACAAAAGTGAAATATTTAGTTAA